GTTGGGTGTGACAGAATTTTCTGTACCAAAATATTAAAAAAAATGCTGTAGAAATGCGTTCATTAAGATGTATTGAGTCTCAATGGCAGAGTGAGAAGTAGTATGATACGAAAAAAAGTAGGAATGAGGATATCCGCAGTGGAACCAGAATTAACGACATGGGCTAAAGCACTACTAAGCTGATGTGGCTATGGACCGACCATATAGCTGCAAGAATCGACAACCGATGCGCAAAAATGGTTCTCGAGTGGCATTCCCGTACTGGAGGACGAAGTGTAGGGCATCCTCTCACTAGATGGAGTGACGACCTGGTAAGACATGCAGGAATTCGATGAATGCAGTTGGCTCAGGACCATGCTTTGTGGCATTCCTTGGGGGAGACCTATGTTCAGCAGTGGGCTTGTGAAGGGCTGTAATGATAATGATTATGATTACCGTGACTGAAATTCGGTCTGGAGGGCAATATATGTACTATCATCATGGAATATTGTGATCATATAATACTAAGATACAATGGATTTTCTTCTTGTTATTGTGAAGTTTTTTCGGTCTAGAATATTAAATTTACTACTATATAAAGAAGCTATCAGCAGAATATAATAACAACTATAGCATAGATAACTACAATATTCGCCGTAAAAAGATACGTGATAGAGCTATGCTGCAGCTGTATTATCGTTGTAGCATAAACGAGACGGCTTGACTGGAGGAAAAAACACGCTCTCAAAGAATACCAGCGTAAAATAGCAGCTTCAGACCGCTTTGTTTCAAATGGTGAATGTAGAGAATCGGAGAGCCTTTTTATTGGTAACCAGGCAATCTATCTTAGTCCTCAGGGTTGCATTTTATTCTTAATCGAGAATGCATGTAGATTTCTATAGGTACCCACGTACCAACTGGTGGACCGTGTGCTTGTTTGCAGATGTATTAATAATTCGAAATCCTGATAACACCTTACGATACACTGTGTACATACATAAGATCCAAACCAACTGATATTTAAACGGTGGTTCTCACCAACATCCTTCACTGTTAGCTACCGCGAGAGTTTTTTGTTTATCTGAGTACAGTTGTTTGGATAAACAAAAAACAGCTCTAAACAAAAGACGGCTCTAGATGGGGCAGGGGTGCGAAGAATCTCTGGGAGAAAAACCGGCGACGAGGTTCGCCACCCGTCACGTCCTGTCTCCCAGAGGGGCCAAAAGTGGATTGCGGAGGCCCGTCTGGCTACGCTGAAAGTATGTGGAGCAATGAATGATAAGATGAATGAAGTATGCGAAATTATGAATGTTAGAGGAATAGATGTGTTATGTGTAAACGAGACGATACGAAAGGGAAGAGATGTCACTGCACATGGCATGTATACCGCTTACTGGTCTGGAGTAGACGAGACCGAGCGGGAATGCCAGAGTCTTTTTGTGGCGAACACTTTCTTTCGCCATAAGAGGATTCACATGTATACATGGGAAAGAGGGGATGATAGAAACATGATAGATTTCATAATTGTGGATGAAAGAACGAGGAGCGCAGTGGTAGATACAAGGGTCCAACGTAGGGATGGATCATTACTTGGTCTTATGCTGAATTAATGGTCTATTCAGACGTTGGTGGCATCGGACATCTGTGTCTACAACTGCGTGACAGCGTACAAGAATAGAGAGGTTACAAGATGAAGGTGTGAAAGAGAAGTATAAATGCAGACTGAGGTAAAATATAAGTGGGTTGAATGAATTATGTATGAATGATTTAGACTTGAAGAATGTGTGGAATAATATTAAGAAAGTTTTGGTGGATGCAGCCAACGAAGTATGTGGTGTAAGTGAGAGAACGAATGAAAGGAAAAGTAATATGTTGTGGTCGGATAATGAGGTACGAATGGAAGTTGAAGCAAAGAAGAGAGCATGGCTAGATTTACTAGCAACTAAAGCTGGTAATGCGGTATGAATGATGAGATGGAAAGAAAAAAGGCAAATTTTAGACGTATAAATAAAAGAGTAAAAGAAGTCGTTGAGAGGAAAAAGCAAAAAACGACAGATAAGCATGATAGAAGGGTATCTGATAACTTCCAGGAAAAAATTAAAATGTTCTGGAGGCGCGTAAGAATTGCCAGTGAAATTCATAACAGCCTAGAATGAATGCTATACGAGGCGAGAATGGCTGCATGCTGAATGATGAAGTTTTAAGAGAGATGAGAATTTAAAGAGATGTAAGGAATACTTTGAAAGCGTGTTTAAGAGTGAAGAGTCCTCTGAAGTAACTGAAATAGAAATTCCGGAAAAAGTGGAGAGGTAGGGAGATAAGTGTAGATGAAATAATGAAAGCAATGAAAAGCATGAAAGCAGGTAAGGCAGCCGGATATGATAGAATATCACTCGAAATGCTAAGGGCTGGAGAGGGTGTGCTTGCAGGCTTGCTGTGCACCTTGTTTAATTTATGTTAGGAACTGAAGCGGGTAACGGAAGACTGGTGCAAAGCCATTATAGTCTCAATATATAACGGAAAGGGCTCGCAGCAGGACTGTAAAAACTACCGTGGTATCAGCTTTCTTAGCATTGTGGGTAAACCGTATGCTAAGGTGTTAATTGAAAGAGTTATGGAAGAAACTGATGGAAAAATTTGGGATGTGCAAGCTGGATTTAGAAAGGGGATGGTGTGTACGGATCAAGTCTTTTCCATGCTTATGATTGCGGAGAAGTTTTTGCCAAAAACCAGAAAGTTTTTTGTGCGTTCATGGACTTGTAAAAAAGGCTTATTACAGAGTGGACAGGAATGTGTTATGGCAAACAGTGAACTCATTTGGGTTGAGCGCTGGCTTGATACAGGCATTGAGGTCTCTTTATAAGGACTCTAGTGCTTGTGTCAGGATCAACGGGGTCAAGTCGGACTGGTTTGGCGTTCATAAAGGTGTCAGACAGGGATGTGTTGCTTCCCCGTGTCTGTTTAACCTATTTATGGACAATTGTTTGCAAACTTTGAAAGTTGAAGAATGTGGGTTGAAAATGGGTGATTTAATCGTCAAATGCCTTTTGTACGCCGATGATCAAGTCATATTTGCATCGTCGGCGGCCGAGTTGCAAATGATGGTAACTTTAATGAACTGGTCATTGAAAGAAAGGGGTATGAAAGTGAACGCAAGTAAGACGAAAGTGATGGTTTTTGAAAGAGAAGAAAGTAAAACGTTATGTGAAATAAGAATAGAAGGGGATTATATTGAACAAGTGGATGAGTTTTTATATTTGGGATGTTTATTTAGCAGGGATGGTAGATATGATAAGGATATAGAACGACGAGTGAACGCAGGCAATAGAGTAAATGGGGCTCTACACGCTATTATGAGGAGACAGAATGTGTCAAATAAGGCACGTATGGCAATTCATAATGCTTTGTTAGTCCCTTCTTTAATGTATGGTAGTGAAAGTTGGGTCTGGCAGCAGAAGCATGAGAGTAGAATAAATGCTGTAGAAATGCGGTCCTTAAGGAGTATGCTAGGGCTGAATCTAAATGACAGGGTGAGAAATAGTGTAATAAGAGAAAAGTGTGGTTTTCAAGATGACGTTGTGACAAGGATTAAGAAAGGAATGCTTCGTTGGTTTGGTCATGTGGAAAGAATGTACGAGGAAAGAGTGACAAAGCAAATTTATGTTGCGGGAAGTGAACGGCATGGTCGGGAAGGGACGCCCTTGACGAAGGTTTATCGACCAAATTTGGCGATACATTAAAATGGGCTAGATTAGGAGTACTCTTAACCGACGAGCGTGTATGCGTAGACATATGGATGTAAAAGAGGCGAGAGAGGTGTGTCAGGATCGTGCCAAATGGAAGTCCGTAGTCTCTGCCTACCCCTATGAGTGACAGGCGTGAGTGTTTGTGTGTGTGTGTGTGTTTGTGTTGTGAGATTTTTTTTCAGAGGAAGGACATTTGGCATAGTCACCACGCTTCAAATGCGGCTTCTTTATTATTATTATTTATTCATTATTCAGGTAATTACTCTCATTTTCTTAGTATACTTAAAAACTTAGGGGTTCGTAAATTTACAAAATAAAAAAATTATTATACATTACCAAAATTATCATTTATTATTAAACATACTGGGCCATTCACAACACAACATACAACATATATAAAACCATAGTTTTTTTGAGTTGTTATTAAATAGATGCTATCTCTCGTTTAATTTTTCCTCTGGTGTCTCTTACAACACCCACGTCACCCATAAAGACCAACATAAATGCTTACACTTGACCCTTGTTTTTGTAACTCAAACATGATATAAACCTGCTTAAATTTATATGAACACTACACAGGAAATAAAAAAAAACTATACGAATTATACAGCGTTTATTAGACTTTTTTAAAAAACGCGATAAAATCCATAAAATTAGTGTTATTCAAAAATATGAGCTACCTACCAAAATATTAATACCTCATCATCACTCATCACTGATATTCCGTCGCATGTCCAGTGCTTAAAATTGGGCACTGCTGTTTATTTCTAGGGATGATATGGGGTACTGGAATCCCTTTCGCTGTACGGTATTATAAAATGAACAAAAATCGAATAATTTTACTTTACAGCTAAGAAGAAACTGTTTAAGGTAGTCTGCACAGTATGTAGTAAACACTAACTATTTTAATATTGTCGCTGAAAGTAAACGACTCGAGAGCGAAAATATTTTGAGAGCACTTTAAACTTGAATTCATTTTAATTCATGAAATACTCTGCAAACTACAAATGCAAAAGTATTATGTAATTATATTTCGTCGCTTCATTCTTCAGATACAATTAACTTAGGTAGTCCCTTAACCTACTCGAGGAATTCGCACGTTTAGAGAATCGGTCTATTTTAAATCGATTCTTTTTTTTTTTGTGTTGGTATCTCCCACTTTCCGTTTACCCGTCGGTCCGATAGCCACTTCATTCCTTACTTGTGCGAGGTAACGTTCGCACGTGCCTTTCGTAAAAAGTTAAAAGTGTTAATAATTTATATTCCGTGATTATTATGCCAAAAAGAAAAAATGAAGAAAAAATTAAACGTTATCGAAGCAAAATTAGGAAATTGGAACAGGAGCAGAGAAAATACAAACGAATTATTTATTCGTCTTCTGAGGACTTTGATAAAGATTCGGGTTAGTAAAATTTTTATCTCTAAATATTATGAATACTAAATTAAATACAATTTTATATGGAATATTGTATTTGCATTTTACCTGGAGGTTGACCGTGTGTCATCACGAAGGTTATTTTAATACCGAGAGGTTAACCGCGTGCTAACACGAAGGTACTTGGAAATCGTTCGAGAAACGATTTTGCAGCTATTCGTATATAAAATAAAAAAAGTATTCAGATATAAAATAATATTTTAAAATTAATGACTTGTGAATACACATGGCGAGCAGATTATTATTCGAGCAGTAGTTTATTTGCCTTTGGTTTTAATATCTACCCTCAATAACATTCATTATTGTTTTAGATAGTGAAAACCTTGATATCGCCGATATGGAACCCTTGAATTCAGAGTATCGAAGCGACAAAAATAGCGCTTTAAATAATGAGGAGACAAAATATGACTCTGACCAAGAACCGGTAGTGTCAGAATTAGAGCTTGACATCCTTACTGCCTTAGGTGAGACCACCGAAGAGACATCGAAGTTGGGCCCGAAAATCCACGACAAGTTAGCTCAGCTATGGTTACCTATACTTCGAAAGGGTATACATAAAGAGGCGAAAGAGAAACTACTTAAAGAATATCTCATACCGGAAAACTGCTCGTTATTACAAGCGCCAAAACTAAACCCTGAGATTTCGGCCGCTGTATCCGAGGGCACCAAGACTCGAGACAAGAGAGTCGAGGCCGTACAGCAACAATTAGGACAGGGGATATCAGCTCTTAACAAAGGGCTCGAACTCCTCTTAGATGATGGCAAAGACAGACTTCAAGCCGTTAAGTTTCTCAGTGACAGCTGTAGAATACTATGTGACCTACATTTTGTAGAAACGGAAGCAAGAAAGAAATTTGTGACTCCAGGATTGGATAAATCCTTTATTAATATTATGCAGGAAGTGGATCGCGATGACCTGGTCTTTGGAAATAAGCTTACAGAAAAAATCAAAGCCACAAAAGTGATTGAGAAACACGGTTTACAAATTAAGAAACCTGTCCAAAATTTGAAAGCTTCCTACCCGTCACAGCAACCATCGACGAGCCGCTCACGCTCCCAGGGAAACTGGGGAGGCCCTTCTCGCTTCTCGTCAAACAGAGGGGGGATGGGGGGGCGAAGAAGAATACACTACCAAGTCGCAGAACGCCACCAGGCACCAGCTTCCAACCGAAGCCATCGGCGCAGAGCAGACATCGTGCCACAACTCAACAACATTAAAGGTACACGCAGGGAGAATTCTGCATTTTTATAACTGCTGGCTTAACATTACTAAAAATGCTCAAATACTTAAGTGGATCTCAGAAGGGTATTCCATACCGTTTTGTAGCAAAGTGAGACAAGTTTCAGTTCCCCGTAATTCTGTACCCAGTAATGACCCGCATATGTTAAATTCTATCAAATCTTTATTGGAACTTGGTGCTATTTCACCCTGTCGTAGATCGATGCACGACTTTGTTTCCACTGTATTTCTAGCTCCGAAATCTAACGGAGCAAAAAGATTTATCCTAAATCTTAGGACTCTAAATAGGTTTATTTCAGCCACCCATTTCAAAATGGAAGATCATAGGACTGCAGCTAGACTCTTACTTAAATCCGGCTTCATGGCAAATATTGATATAAAAGAGGCTTACCTTTTAGTTCCAATAGCAAAAGAACATCGTGAGTACTTACGTTTTCAATTTAATAAAAAATGCTTCGAATTTAATGCTCTGCCATATGGACTGTCCCTTGCTCCGTGGGTTTTCACTAAGTTAATGAAAGAACCTATCAATTTTCTACGACAAAGAGGATATAGGTCGGTAATATATTTGGATGATATCCTATGCATAGGCGACACTTACGAAGAATGCTCCAATAACGTAAGTAAAACGTTATCATTGCTCAAATGCTTAGGATTTGTCATTAATTACGAAAAAAGTTTCCTGGAACCAAAACAGGTATGTCGATTTCTCGGGTTTATATATAATTCAGTCGATATGTCATTAAGTTTGCCAAATGACAAACGACAAGTTATCATGCAGTATGTCAAAATTATTAATTATTTGCCTTACTCCCCAAATGCTCTATCAGGGAATTGTCATAACTAATAGGAATACTTACTGCAGCCTGTCCAGCCGTTAGATATGGTTGGTTATACACCAAAATTCTAGAACGTCAAAAATATTTAGCCTAATTAAAATATAACTATTATGAAGCAAAAATCAAACATTCGACTATTATTTTACCCGACCTGCAATGGTGGAAACAAAACATATTGTCCACTAGCAATTCATTGAGGCCAGATAAACAATTTGCTTTAGAAATATACACTGACGCGTCCAAGACAGGCTGGGGGGCTGTTTGTGACTGTAAAAGAGTAAACGGTGGATGGAAGAACAATGAATTATCCTTTCACATTAATTACCTAGAACTACTAGCCGTTTTCCTAGGCTTGAAAAGCTTTGTTTTCGCTCACTTTAATTGCTCTATTTTACTCCGCGTGGACAACACAACTGCCATATGCTACATAAATCTTATGGGGGGAATACGGTTTCCACATTTAAATGATTTGACCAAAACTATTTGGCAATGGTGCGAGAAGCGAAATATCTTCTTACTTGCATCCTACATTAACACACACGACAACCGCGAAGCTGATGAAGAATCACGAAAAGTAAACGTAGATACGGAGTGGGAATTATCGGAACGGGCGTTCAAAACAATTGTTCAAAGTCTGGGAGAACCTGAAATTGATCTTTTCGCTTCTCGCACTAATGCAAAATGCCTTAAATATATCTCATGGAAACCAGACCCCGACGCAATGACCATTGACGCTTTTACAGTTAACTGGAACTCGTCGTTCTTCTACGCATTTCCACCGTTCGCCTTAATACTAAGATGCTTACGAAAAATTATTAGTGACAAAGCCACCGGTATCCTAGTGTTTCCTTACTGGCCCGGACAAGCTTGGTTTCCACTGCTCAAAAGAATGCTCATCTCGGAGATTATCTTCTTTAAACCCAATAGGGACCTTTTGCGTTGTCATTACAGGCTACGTCACCGACTTCATGCCAGCCTTTCCCTGGCGGCCGCGACGCTCTCAGGACAGCGTTTAAGAGATTAAACACTCCGGACATAGCACTAGATCTCATGCTAGCATCCATCTCTGATAACACTATGAAACAATATTCTAGTACGTACAGATTATGGTAGCAGTTTTGTATAAAAAACGAAGTAAATACTTTTGAAGCTCCATTATCATCCATAATATCATTTTTAGTGGATCTGTACGAAAATGGAGCATCATATGGGTCTATTAATAGTCATCGCTCTGCCCTATCTCTACTCCTCGGGAATAATATAGGGTCAGACGAACGAGTTAAGCGGTTATTAAAGGGTATTTATAGACAAAAACCTTCCCTTCCCAAATATACAAGTACCTGGGATCCAAAAACTGTGCTTGATTATGTATCGAAATGGTATCCAAATAATAATACTATAAGCCTAACAAAACTCACAAAGAAAATGACTATACTTTTTGCTCTGTGTACTTCTCATCGCGTACAAACTCTCTCTCTAATAAGAATCTCTAATATCATAAGATCCCCGTCAGGTGCTAAGATCTTTATAACTGACATAATAAAAACTTCAGCACCATATCAAGAGCACCCAGTATTATTCCTGCCTTATTTCGCGGAGAACCCAAGCATATGTCCAGCAAGAACCCTTGACGACTATCTTATAGTAATATCTAGGCTACGACCTGAAGGTACTGACAATCTCTTGCTTACTCATAAGAAACCTTATAAAAAGGCATCGTCACAAACTATAAGCCGGTGGATAAAGCAGACTTTAGCAGAGAGCGGTGTGGACGTAACTATATTCACCGCCCACAGCACCCGCCACGCTTCTACTTCGGCAGCGGCCTCCGCTGGAGTTTGTATTGACACCATAAGAAAAACGGCTGGGTGGTCTACCTCATCTATGACATTCGCTAAGTTCTATAACCGCCCATTAACGGATGAAGGAGAATTTGCTCGATCCGTCTGTGCGATTAGTATTAACAGTAACAAATAATAAGACTAATTATGTATTTATTTGCTTAAATCATTAAGAGAATGTTGGAAGTATTATTATATTTTTGTTAACCCAAAATTAAAGTTTTTTCCTAATTCTATAAATGTTTTATTAACCTAAGAACATTTATATCCGAATTTAACTATCTCTAAACATCTACCTAAGTTAATTGTATCTGAAGAATGAAGCGACGAAATATAATATGATATCAAACGAACTTCTTGAAGTGAAGTTCGATCATTATTATATGAGTCGCTTCATTCGAAGATACAAAGGTCCCACCCACCCATACCCGGCGTACAAAAAAAAAAGAAAAAAACTTAAATGAATATCTCTAAAAAGAATGAAGTGGCTATCGGACCGACGGGTAAACGGAAAGTGGGAGATACCAACACAAAAAAAAAAAGAATCGATTTAAAATAGACCGATTCTCTAAACGTGCGAATTCCTCGAGTAGGTTAAGGGACTACCTAAGTTAATTGTATCTTCGAATGAAGCGACTCATATAATAATGATCGAACTTCACTTCAAGAAGTTCGTTTGATATCATATTGATTCGCTATTTGCTTTCTTTTTGAATCTAGTTACAAAAAGATGTTTCATATTTTAATATTTTTAGATGTATTGATTATATGTAACATTTTTAACACTTTTTTATATTGTATTTTTTTCAGCTTGTAGATCCACTGGACCCGGACTTCTTCCGATAGGGAGTAATTGCCTTAGAGACACCGCACACTGCAGAATTGACATCGCTAAATCACCATGTTTGACAGACATTGTAGACAGTGCGATTGAAGTACGTAAAGTTGTATAGTAGATTTTTCTAAATTTGCCTCTTACGACACCCACAAGATGAAAATGGATGTTAACTCCATAACCAACAGACCGACAGACAATCAGTCAAAGACACTGAAGTTTTTCTTTAAATGTTCATTTTGCTACCAATATAAAATAAATTAATTCTAGACGTCGATGCAACGTTTGCATTTACAATATGAATATAAAGATTAAGATTTTTAATAACTAATAAAAGATTTTTTAAACCATTATTAAAAGTATCATATATCATCCAGCATTCATACAACAAGTACCTATTAATTAAAAGAGATATGGAGCTCGATCTACTCGACGCTTGCCTTTGAATCATTCATGCGATATGTAACTAGTTTATCGTCAGTTTACAAAATATATATAATTTTATTCATTCCTGCACGTAAGCGCTTTGGTATAAGACAAGTTTGGTCATTTGATGGTAATATCTACGTCAAGTTGCCTAGTGGTAAGCGCCATCGGCTGACTGACACCCAGGACCTCGATGAGCTCATAGTTGACAAACACTAGTTATAAATCAAATTGTAAGCGTGAATCGATTTTAAAATTTATTTTTATTATGTTGATCTTTTATTTTTTAAATTGTAGACACTATGTTAATATATTGTAATGTATCTATTTAGTTTGATTGAATTAATCATGTAATATATTTATTTTTTATGTCAAATTGTTAAAACTCATTCACATTAATTATAAACAAAATAATTTATTAAAAGTATGAAGAGGGGTAAATCTCCTGGATATGACGGACTCAGCATCGAGCACCTTCAAAACGCTGGAATACATTTACCAAGAGTGTTGACCATGTTCTTTAATCTATGTTTAGGCCATTCTTACTTACCACAGAAGCTTCTGGATACTATAGTCGTGCCTATTATTAAGAATAGGACGGGAGACATAGCAGACAAGTTTAATTACAGACCAATTTCACTGGCGACCGTAATAGCAAAAGTATTTGACAGTGTGCTCGACTCTCGTCTCAGTGAATACATAAAGATACACGACTCACAGTTTGGTTTCCGCCCGGGACTATCCACTGAGAGTGCAATTTTCGCATTGAAGCACACTGTCAAATATTACACTGACAGAAAAACACCCGTGTATGCTTGTTTCCTGGACCTTTCAAAAGCCTTTGACCTGGTTTCCTACAATGTTCTGTGGGGAAAGCTTCGGGAGGCGGGAGTTCCTGCTTCATTAGTGTCTACGTTATCTATGTGGTATGACAAGCAAAGAAACTTTGTAAGGTGGTCCAATGCATTGTCTGACCCTTATAAACTTGAGTGCGGTGTGAGGCAGGGAGGTCTTACCTCTCCGAGGCTTTTTAATATCTATATTAATAAGCTGATTGACGAGCTTAGCAGC